AGAGAGAGAGAGAGAGAGAGAGAGAGAGAGAGAGAGAGAGAGAAAGAGAGAGAGAGAAAGAGAGAGAGAGACAGAGAGGACGTGTAGCGTAGGTCTCGTCGTGTAGGTCGCGTCGCGTAGGTTGCGTAGCGTAGCGTAGGTTGCGTAGGTAGGTCGCGTCACGTAGGGCCGTACTTTTCCCGCCCGCCTGCCAATGGTCCTTTCGGACCGATTTCCCCAAGGCACCGCGGCGATCCGGGCCGTAAACGGCCCGACAGCCCGGATTCGCCCGCGATCTTAAAACTTTAAGATCGTGGGGCGATCTGGGCCACCGGGCAGGTGCAACTGCGAACGGCCTGGATCGCCGTGCGATCTTAAGGATCTAAGATCGGGGCCCAATCCGGGCTGTCGGGCCGGTAGGTCCAAAGACGGCCCCGATTTCAGAATTCAGACATTAGCGATTTTTGTAAGTGTAGGGATTTGCGAAAAAGAACAAGAGAGTACTCTTACAAAACGAAACAGCGACATATTTTCAAATCAAATCAAAGCAACTAATGTACAACATGCCAACACGGTACATTCTGCCGAGGTCAGCAGGCCCATGTGCACAGCAGGCTCCCTCCCAAGACAATGTTGTGTGGCTGAGGGCTCTAGCACTTCGCTGCCCGGCGGTGGAGGGGAGTACACATCGCTCTGATCACTTGGCTCATGATGCCTCTTTCCATATGATTGTGTGAGAAAGCATTCATTTAAACCGCCAGTACACGACCCCAGGCAACGTCAAAAAGTTCATGGCTCACTCCTAAAGTTCTGGAGGCTTGGTGCTACCGGACCACGATGGCTGGCGACTACAAAAACTTCATGGCTTACTCCTGAAGTTCCCGAGGCTTGGCGCTACCACACCACAATGGCTGGTGGCGCCAGCCAAAACAAAGAAGTGCGCCTCTGGCAGTTCGGTGAAGGTTGGTGCGCAATGCGACCCCACCAGCCTCGGGTGTACTTGTCCCTTAAGGAACTCCAATGCCACCAAACTACAGGTGGCTCGTAGAGCAGGATGGAAGCACCGCCACAAAAAACACCAAGAGCTTGTCAACATCTGCATCTTCACCTTCCCTCCTTGTATGGCGGTTAACCCCGCCTTTGAGAGTGCCGTCCAGTCTTAAGGGTCGGATAGGCTTCGGCGGCGGACTGGTTATAAGACTCACATACGGAAAAAGGGACTAACCAAATCTTCAGGGTGTAGAATCTGTAGATGCACGGCAATTGATTTCATTGGCAGATTCAGTCGGAAATTCAGAATGGTTCGGATTTGTCTGAAAAGAAAATCTGAAGTGAGGATCACCTCTGCATTCATCTCTCTGCCTCTCCTTTCTCTTTACTCTGTCTGGCCTTCCCCCAACTCCCTTTAGAAAGAAAAAAAAACAGACCCTTACGCTTCTGGGCTTCCTCTTTTTTTTCTTTTTTTTCTTTTTTTTGCCTTCCTAACTCTGGGCATTGCTAGTCATTCAATCTTATTCCAATCGTAGGGAATATTGCGCAGGCGAACATTCTCTGTTAGAGAAAAAAAAGAGACTGCAATCTTTTTTGTAGCTGAAGTTTCTTCATTCAAAGTCGTTCACCATTGACTCCGAATACACAGGTGATCGTTATGTGAAAATTAAAAATTTTGAACTTGAAACTAATCACACAGAGTGCATACTACTATGAACAGCAAGCATGTGATGGTGGAAAGGACCTTAAAAGGGAGTGCTGAAGAGAGGATTGTATGAAGAAATCACAAACCTCCTGCCACACGCGCGTGCATGCTATACGCAGGTGCCGACCGGTGAACATAGCTGCTTTTCGTCAGTGTGTACGCGCCTGGACCGGGTCCTGGATCATCTGAAAGCGCCATCCCACTCCCAAGCAATTCAAAACAGGATTCAGATCACCTTCTTCGTCATTCAAAGACAGGATTTAGCTTCTTCTTCTTCTTCTTCTTCTTCTTCTTCTTCTTCTTCTTCTTCTTCTTCTTCTTCGTCGTCGTCGTCGTCGTCGTCGTCGTCATCGTCGTCATCATCGTCATCGTCGTTGTCTTTATCTTTGTCTTCGTCGTCTTCTTCGTCTTCTTTCTCTTCTTCTTCCTCTTTTTCTTCCTCCTCCTTCTTGAGATCTTGGCTTTCTTTTTCCAACGGAATATGTACTTAATTTAAGATAAAATAATTGAATGCTAAAATGGAGTAATGAATGTTGGTGGTGAATGTGCGAGAGCATTGGTGGCATATGGCAGGGGGGGGGGAGAGAGAGAGAGCTGTCTCTTATACACATCTAGATGTGTATAAGAGACAGTTTCGA